GTGCAACTTTATTCACAACTTTATCCCATTGTATCATCTGAATACTTTTGTACATGGCATGTAGCAGAGTTGAGTGTATAGTCTGCAGTGGAATTTGTGAAGAGGAAAGGAGCCAGAACGGTACCCTGTGGTGCACCAATATTGCTCACCACAGTCCCAGACACGCTCTTCCCGATCAGCCTGACATACTGCACAGAGAGGTAGTTTTAGATCCAGTTGGTAAAAATACCATCAACACCAGTCTTCACCAGTTTCTCCCTGAATAAGAGGATGGATGGAGGTTGGATGGTATTAAAAGCCATCCAGTGAAGACATGGACAGATGGAGCATGTAGAGGGCCTCCTGGTGGGCAAACTGCAGGGGGTCAAGGGCCTGCTTTACCTGTGGTTTGAGCAGTCGGAGTACTAGCCTCTCAAAAGTCTTCATTATGACAGTTGTTAGTGCCACTGGTCTGTCGTCTTTGCATCTTGTCAACCTCGCTACCTTGGAGACGGGTCCTGGTAAGATTCATCACACTTCACCAAAGCCTCAAGTTCCTTGGACTTATTTTGGAGTGAGTTGAGTCCCCATTATTTTCGATGGTACAAATGGTTGGTACCAGTGCCTCCTTGCCTTTAGCTTAGTTCCGGTTTGACATCCTCTGAAGGGCTTCTTGATCTCCAGAGGGATCGTATGTTTAATCCTGCTTGGGCTTTCCTAGTAGGAGGAGATTATCTATGAAGTACTTAAACATGAACATTTTGCCACTATAATCACACTATACCACCAACACATAGAGCTATACAGACTTGCTGTCACCGTGGTTAGAGCATGTCCAAAAAAATATGCATAAATGCAATATTGTATTTAGACTGTATTGAAATTGTATTGTTCTCTTTATTTGCAACATGGGTTATTGTCACCCTAGCCTGGCCTTAGCCATCCATAAACTCCAGTCAATTCGTATTTCCCCACATGTACAGTACGTCTGGGTCTGGTCCCTGTGGGTTGTACCTGGGTTGTATCCCATCTGACCAATCAGTGAGTGGGGGAGGCGGGTGTTGTAGGTAGGCGTCGGTGAAGGAGCTCAATGTAGCAAATCCAGACCTTAGTACGAAATGAAATTTGTACGTTGGTGTGGTACGAGCAGGCTAGTGTCACCCCAGAACTTAAAAAGACTGGACACTCTATTCATTTGCGTTCACAAATACAGTCAATCTAATCAAAAAAATATTAATTCAAGCCTTGACGAGAATTTTTTAATTTTGGCGAAGGCTCATAGTGTCAAATTTAAGTCACTCCAAATATGAACTCTACCAACAACGCCTCCATTTTTCATTTGGCTTCCATTTAAATGCAAATTAACTCATTACCCAACATCACCTCTTTCCCACAACAGTTCACTATTGATATTGTGGCAAATATTATGTCGCTTTTTTTGTCTCTCCAAGGACTACAGTATTTTGGAATAGAAAGGCTTAATTGAATCTTTGTTGCACTTTTTGCAGCACTTTATAATGATTTGATAAGACATGAAGTGCATAGGCAGCCACAGAGGAGCACTACTCAATAATGATTCCCTAATACACATGTAATTGGGCCGTAATGAGATTTTATTGTTCTCAAACAAAGTGTGTGGAGTTGAAATTAAGTAGCACAGGGAGCTACGCACAAAGACGTGAATCAGGGAACCTTACACTTTGAGTCAATCAAACCACAGCAAAAGAGGAAGACAATTTCTCTCACACATGCTCTTAAAGGAGACATCTCATGCAACATATTTTTAAGGCTTTTAGACTAACGGACTATTGATGCAGAGAAAGAAGAGAAAGCAGTTAGCAGTGTGTGTGTTTGTGTGTGCGGCAAGGAAAGGATATTATATTGATCTGTTCGATTCGAGAATAGTGCGTACGAACAAATCAATATAATATCGAGAATCTTTGCATCCCTAAAAGCTTCATTCACGTGAAAACATTCAATTTTAACAGATTTTACAAACCCAATTACCCAGTCAAATCCTATGCTGTTTTCTTCTTCCTTCTATTATATGCAATGCCAGAATCCAGCAAAGATGCTTCCACCTTCCTGCCTTTGGTGGGAACAGGTCATTAGCTGCTTTTAATTGTGGCCTATTGTCTATAGTCACAGTAATTCTTGAGGGAAGAGTGAGGACTTGAAAACTAACTCCAGTGTGCAACAATTCGGAAGCAAACCGAGCATACCAAACCAGAGCTAATTATTATGCTAATGAAGTTTGCCTGTGGGACTCCAAAACCAAGTGATGTAACCATATTAAATACATTTCCAAGCACAAAAACACTTATAATGAATAATTCTCAATATATATTTTGTTTGTGAAGTTTGCTCATGATTATTCTACAGGGAGTGGATGCATGAAATGGTTTGTGTGTTTAGGGAATTGTGTTTTTGTCAGTCAAAGGAAAGTTCATTTAGCTTGGATTAGGATATTGCTTCATGCATCGACCTCAGAGACAATGAGATTCAGGAAAACAGAACATGCTTCTGCTTGCAGTTCAAAGATAATGTATGACCATTTAGGCTCATTATTAAATAATTAGTATATTATTACTCTTGATATTGGTCTAAAATGGTGTAAAACATTAGGTTTTACTTTTGCATAACTTTGTTCAGAAATAGATTTTTTTTTTATTATTATTATTTAAGAACCCCAAGGTCATAATCATCCATATTAGGACTCTGCAATCTGGGGAAAAAGATTCAAAAATCCCATATTGATCGCGACCCACAATTTACGCTTCCAATTTGTATTTGAAAACTTTTTTAACTGTTGACCCTGTCATTTAATATTTTTAGTGTTATATAATTTCTTCAATCATTGCAGAAATGCAAGCATAAACAAACACGCAGTTTGTTTGTGCTTGTTTCAGCATAAACAAACTGAGACTTGTTTATGCGAAAACAGGTCTCAGAGCTGCCCCCAATTCACAGAGCACCCTCACTGCCCCTCCTGCAGGAGGTGGGTCCACAGGAGGATGACAGCATAGCCTTGATCTTGAAGTGGGGGCTTCTGGCAAAGTGTCTTGCCCAAGGACACAACGGCAGCAGATATAAGTGGGAGTCAGTGGAGAAGGTTTTGTGGTGGGCTCAAACCCACAACCTTCAGGCTCAAAGGCCATTACAGTCATTACAGTTAAAATCTAGAAAGAAAGCTCATTTTTTCAAGATTTTCTTCTTTAAACGAGTGAAGCAGTGAAATGTGAGCACACATGAGTGAATGTTCTCTTCAGCCCCTCACATTGTTACTGCCACATTATTGGTATCGCTCAATATTAATTCATTCCAAAATAGATTCACCCTCCCATACACAAGGAGAAACATGAAAGTTTGCAGAAAAAGATTCAATCGATACTATTCCCCACTCACACTTTTTCAATTGGGTTTATTTTTGCAGGACTCAAAATCACTACAGCAGAACACGTCCGCCTTGCAGCTTCACAGAGAACGAATTCCTCTTGGTCAGAATAAGACTGCGGAACACATATAGACTGAAATATGGGCCAAAGGCATTGTTGTCCATATACAGCTGTAGTAAGTGCCTACAGATGAGAGATGACTGGCTGCTGCAGGGCTAATCCACCCCCATTCACTTTGTGTGTGAAAAAGATATTTTATGGTTATGCTATAGTAGACAAAGATTGAAGCATGTGATTAAATCTGTAGATGCTGCATTAAAGCTGGGGAAACCAACTGTCTTTCCCCTGTGGACCACACATTTGTTCTCCCTGTGCCTGAATAGGTTTCCTCCGAGTGCTGCTCCGGTTTCTCCTACCATTAAAAACATGTACAATATAGGTCTGCATGTGACGAGTGAGTGAATGGAGGGTGTTGATTGGTGCCTTTGAGTGTGTTCGGTGAATGGAAAAATGCCTGGACACTGAACAAGCGCTTTGGATGACCTTGGTCTGTAAAAATGCGCTATATAAATAAAGATTACTTATAAGAGAGACCACAGCATCCTGTCTTCAGCTTGTTAGAAAACGTGTTACATGTTGCATACTTGTAAGAAAGAGCTACGGCAGTCACCATTTGATGCTTGATAGAAACAAACTATTTTTGATTGAGAGGAAAGAGTTAGGTATTGAAAGTTTTAGGTGCCTCAGCTTTAAGGGTTTATTAAAGAAAACTGCAATACGAGTTATCAGCCTATTAGAATGTTGTACATATACAGCTTATCAATGGGTGCACATTAACAAAATAAGCAGATGGTGCACATGAAAGTGTATAGTTTTGAAAGAACAAGACTTTTTGCCTATAGCTTTTCATCTTTGATTAAAAACCTCCCATGCAGGGGATAGTCCCTCGCACTTTGCATATTTTCCGAAGGTCGTCTGGATTCTTTCATTTGAGAGACACATCCTGCCCTCCGCGCCCTCCACCGGAAGCATCCATCAAACAGCAGTGCAGCTTGGGTCACGCTCCCGAGTGTCACTCAAAAACAGCGTCTTCGAAAAGGTGAAATTGAGTTGAAGTGCTGTTTTGAATGCTTTGACGTCTCCGTGTTTTGGGGGAAATTGAGCTTATGTCAATCACGGTCCAATGGGAGAGCAGGGAAAGTGGGCAGCATCATCAGCGGTGAGAAGGAGAGGCAGATATTCAAGTAGTTTTGGAAAATTGGTTTATGCCCAAGAGGTTTATTTGTAGAATTCACTTTTCACAGGTTCTGGAAATGTTCGACTGGTGTTGAATATTTTACTCTAAAAATGGGCAATAAAAACTAACTCTAAACATTCTCAAAAGGCTGCATTTTACACCAAGGTATTTTCAAATAGATGCTAAGTTTTGTTATCAGTGTATCAGGGATTTTACTGATACATTACTGGTATCAGCCATCGTCCCTATTTTACAAAGAATATGACGTATGGCAGTAAAGCAATTGCTAAACCAGTTACAGAGGCCCTCTTCAAGAAGGGCCAGAGCCAGCTCTTCCTGCTGAGGAGGCTCAGGTCTTTTGGAGTGCAGGGGCCACTCCTAAAGACCTTCTATGACTCTGTGGTGGCATCTGTGGTGGCATCTGTGGTGGCATCTGTGGTGGCATCTGTGGTGGCATCTGTGGTGGCATCTGTGGTGGCATCTGTGGTGGCATCTGTGGTGGCATCTGTGGTGGCATCTGTGGTGGCATCTGTGGTGGCATCTGTGGTGGCATCTGTGGTGGCATCTGTGGTGGCATCTGTGGTGGCATCTGTGGTGGCATCTGTGGTGGCATCTGTGGTGGCATCTGTGGTGGCATCAGCAGCATCACAGAGAGGGACAAGAAGAAGCTGGACAAGGTCATCAGGAAGTCCAGCTCAGTCCTGGGCTGTTCCCTGGACACAGTGCAGCAGGTGGGGGACAGGAGGGTCCTAAACAAACTAACATCTATGCTGGACCATGACTGTCACTGGGGTGAAATTTCCCCACTGTGGGACGAATAAAGGTTCTCTTATCTAATCTTAAGCTGTCAGTCAATTGAGCAGGTTGGTTATTGACTAAAGCCCTTTGTGACGGCAAATAAACTGAATCTGACTGATATGAGATCAGCTCCTCAGTCTGTTTCAGCACGGACAGAGGACCAAACATCTTCCTTCATACACATCACACAAAAACATGAGCTGCTACTCAGTCCAAAGTTTTCAGCAAAAGAGAGAAAACTTTTCTAAAGAGCCTCCATGCTGCTTGATCTTCTGTTATCACTATAGAGTTGTAATGGAATTGCACATCTTGATAATTTCTTTCTTGTTGTTTGTTTTGTATTATTTCTTTGTAATTTTAGGAGAAAATGATAATTGGATTAGAAAATGGTCCATGACAAAGGACTATAACTATAATTAGCTTCAATGCACGGACTGAAAGAATCCCAAATCACTGACAAGAGCCACACTGGGTTTTCTGAGCAAACCAGGAGAATGTTTACAGACGTGGGTGAGTGGCACTGTTATTCCAAACGGCCTCATTCTCATTGGGCTTGAGCATCGACCACAACCGTTAGACAAATATATATTGTCCCATGTTGATGTCACAGACTATATGTGTGTGTATTTGTATATATAAAACATATTTATATATTCACGCTAAGGCAAGAAGTCTGACTTTTGACCCTTACCATGTTACAATTTTGGACAATAGACTAGACATTGTTGTATGGATTCACTTTGTTCTTCACTTTTAGTGGAATGTTTTAAGTATTTCTTATTAAAACCCTGGCTTTTCAAAATAACAATGAGAAAAATAATTATTATGCATTGGTTTTGGGTAATGCTTTATGGAGACTCAAAGACGTTACACTGAACATGTAGTCTCAATCTGGTCTCATTCTACCCACTGTTTTTAATGCACACTGTACATAACAAGGTTAAAATGAATTAACATGTTTGAGTAGAAATAGTAATGACAATTGCCTTTAAAAAATGACTATTTTTGGTAACAAGTCTCAATTATATTTAGAAAAAAATATGCGATGTTTATGTAAATTTCGAATGTAAAACGCTAATTAAATCATATAAACTCCTGTGAAAGACAGAAAATACAAAACAAGGTTCTACCTACTCCTTTTCCTTTTTCATTGTATTGCTCAATTAATAATTCAAAATAAAGACTACTATTACCACACATAAAATCACAGTGGTGAATAACTACCACAGCTGCCCGGGGGAACACTGACAGCGTCAGGGTGACTAGTGTCATCGTCCCCTCCGACCACAAACCATTTGCACAGATACCAGACTCATACTTCATGAGGATTAAGTGTCTTGCCTGAGGGCATACCAACAGTTTGTCACTTAACAGCAGCAGCCATGCCACTGTGGCACCTGGAGTTACCCGAGGTCTCCCATCACAGTACTGACAAAGCCCTACCCTGCTTAGCTTCAGGGGTCTGATGGGATCTGGTTTTCACAAGCAGGTGGCTTGTGTATTTAATGGGACAGTAGGGACAGTATGTAATAAGCACTCCTTGTGGTCATTACATTCATTACAATTCCAATCCACATTTTTGTTCCTGCTTTGATGTGAAACCTGTGGTGTTCTTAGACATAGAAATGACTGCTTATTTTTCTATCTGCTTTCATTTACTTAAATGTGTTTGTGGTGCAATGTTTTTGTTTGAGCATTTTGTAAATATGTTGAACAGCAGTGGAGTGATGCAGAAACAACATTCAACACTTTTTCCTGAGTAGCTCTGTTCTCATCATGACCAGACGTAATAATGGACCAAACAATAGACAGTGCCACATAGAGAGGATGGACGAGGGCCATTTCACTTGATCATTACACACCTGGGTGCTGATGTGAGCTGTGTGCAGAGAAAACCATTGTCTTCAAACTACAGCAACGTTTTTTTTTCATTGCACAAAATAGTAAAACTGCAGTAGGAGTCTTTGTGTGTGGTCCTGGGCAGCAAGCTTTCAGGATTGGTAACTTGATTCTTTATCACTGGATCATGGTCAATTATCTTCTTCATGATTTGTTTACATGAAGAATGAAGAAGTTTGTTTCACACCAGTTTATGCAAATGTATTTACCTCATTGCCATAAGTAGTGAGATCACTGTCCTTGAATAGCAAGCTTTGAATTGTGATGTCATCTGTTTAGTGCCTCGCAAAAGTATTAATACAGCTTGAACTTTTGCACATCTTGTCATGTCTACAAGCATAAACTTAAAGACTTTATTCCGAACACCCTACTTTTCACACTTCACATTGTCTGTTACTTGTGTGTGAATTTTCAGTGAAACCATAAAAATCAAATCTTCATAAAAAGTTCAGGCTGAATTAATTATTTTGCAAGGCACTGTTTTTAGTTGCCCTGGTGTGTACTCTACTACAGATATTGGTGCAAAATAGAAAAACCTTGTGGGATTCCTTTGTTGCGGCTTATGAGATAAAAGCCACATTCTGCTCTCTGATTGGATGATCTGCTTACAAAGTAAACGTAAATATGATGGACATCGTGCCAATCCAATTAAATTATTTTGTTTTTGTTGTAAAGCCCTCAATACAACACCTGTCAATTCCTCAAAAACAGATCAGAGAATCAAACACAGGAAACACAATATCAACAAACACATAGGTCTAATGAGAGAGCGGAGATGCAGGAGCAGAAGTGTGAATTTTGTATGTGACCTGTCATCTGGAGACACATAAAAGATGATGAAGAATATGTCATTTCAACTGTAAAGACATTTATTTTTCTTATTATTATTTTTCTTTTTATTGTAAGGCACTGGACATACTGTATCATATTTTTTATAATCATTCACTGTCTGTATTTTCTTGGACAATAAAATGTGCTCTATGCATAAAGTGGATTGGGAAAGCTTTTTGATTTTTATGTTTTATCACACCTTTTATTTTACACATCTAATTCAAAAGCTTACAACTGAGTCTGGCTCTGTATCTTCCCATTTATCTATTTTGAAAGCCTTGGTATATCTGTAAATCCTTTCTTTTTAATGCACAAAGATATAAAAGCAGTTTGTTTCCCATTACCTTATCAGTGCAAAATGGTTTATCAGTGGTTCTCAAACTTTTCACACCAAGTACCCCCTCAGAAAATACTTGCCTCTCCAAGTACCACCACAAATGACCACACCACACAGTAGCGTAGTAAGCCGAAGTATTCATCAATAACAAGGCAGAGGTTTCATTCCTAAAGAAGTATATTTAATGTAATATTTTACACAGTTTCAACAGTAAGACTGCGCTTAAATATAGGAAAAACATTTGTTTTAAATGTTTCATTCATTGCGAACTGCAAAGCCTCACTGTGAGTGATATTCTGGAGTGGGATCTTTGTCCACAGAAGGTTTGGACACTGGTGCACTTTAGTTTCTAAGGCTTGCTCTGCTGCCCTCTTACATCTGTCATTTACTCACAGAGACATGTTCATGGTTTGGATCAAATGATCGTTTGTTGCTCTCTGTTCCTTTTGCACAGAACTGGGAAAAAAAACTGCTCCTTCTACATGGAACGTGTTGCAAAAAGACTAGAAATGATCTGATCTTATTTCCTTGAATGCTTTAAGATCCAGATTGAGACATCTTCAGTGAAATGTAACTGTTTTTATAATCCGTAATTTTATGAAATTGTGTGTTACTGTTGTATAATCTGTATGTGACTATTTTATCATCTGTATGTGACTGTTTTATCATCTGTAATTTTATGTAATTTTTGTACACGAAAAAGAGGTTCTCATTGACTGCCAGCCATTTTTTGATGACTTCACTGATTTTTAAGACTCACAGAATATTGTGTGCTATGAAAAATATGAAACCAGAGTCTGAAAGACAGGACCGTCTACTTTCAGCAGCAAAAAGAAGTTTGTTCTTAGTTTGTTTCGTTCTCCTGTGATCTCCAGTCGAAAAGAGGAGAGTGTGACAAAAAGCACCAGTCTTAGACAAAAAAATTAGAAAATGAGGTTTTTGTGAAAACAGACGAACCTGCAGAAAAGTGATTGTAAAACTATTTAGTTTAACTTTAGCATCTCCTCAAACATGTCCAGGATCTTACATGTTAGAAAACAGCAACACGTTTTGAGAAAGTGTTTTTAATGTAAAATAATAAGTTTTATGGCACACACACATCCACAAAGTGTTGCTCAAAAATTTCAAAATGTACTCATCCAAAAAATGTCAAAATGTACATATTGAAAGTAGAGCCCATGACAAACTATGCCAGATAGAATGGCCAGTATTCATCCATTAGGTGGCACTATATTTATGTCAATAAGAGTAAATCAAAGAATAACAAAATTACAATGATAAACACTATACATGACAATAAATCAAAGTGAATCAATAAGTGCAAGAGAATACTGCTGTGTGTCTTTGTGTGTTTGGGCGTGCATGTATGTGCGTTTATGCACGCGTTTGTGTGTTTTTATGTGGCTACATCTACAGAGCGTCTGTTTAGTCCGGCGTGCGCTGTGACCATATCTGGACTTTGCTGCTGGCTCCTGGTGTGGACTCAGTGATAATTTTAGCAATATTCCACTTTTCTGTGGCTTTTTTGAGGTGCTCCACTGGTCTGCTGTCCTGACCCTCCACATGGTCTGCTGCTAGGACCCTCCACATGGTCTCTGTCAGCTCTGGAGACACATTTACTGCTCAAACTGCCTCCAAATGTAGCCTGACCCTGACTATATTACTCCATGTCTGCTTCACCTCTGTCTCTCCTGCTCAGAGTGCTCAGAGTGATCTTTGACCAAACCAGGGAGTTCTGCTGCCACCTGCTGGCTTAATAAAATACTGTCTACAGCCAAACCCCAGACTGTATGATACAGGGGACACAGACTGACAGGAAAAGATTGAAAAACAATGTTGTCCTCAAATGACATCCATGGCTGTCAATGAGTTAATCTCAATGGGACTTTCCTGGTAAAATTAAAAAAAAATAAAAAAAAAAAAATCACAGATTTTTTTTTTTTCACAGATTCTTTGGCGTACCCCTAGAGGGCGCCCGCGTACCACTAGGGGTACGCGTACCCCAGTTTGAGAAACCCTGGTTTAAATAATAATGCACTCTATCCATTATTTCTATGAAGCCACCATTTATTCTCTTTGTCTCGCTTAAAGGACTTTCTGAGGTCTTTATGCAATCGAGTCTCTGAACTCCTCACAGTAATGGCTGGCAACGGATGTTTTATGTTGTTTTTCGGTTGTATCTGGAGATTAGTGCAGAGCTAATGGAGGTGTATGCTGTCCTGACACCTGCAGTACACCAGCCAGTGTGACATATGGAGCAGCTACAGGAGCCCAGGGGGGACAATCGGACCAAAACACTACACGAACGAGCAGCTGCCGTGGAATCGCTCCAGACCATATCCACAATCGTCGTAATTTAAAGGAAGACGAGCTTGGAATTGCTTTGGCAAGAGCTGGCTTTGGACCCGTCGGTCAATGGGAATAATGCAGTTATCATGTTACAAATGAAAGAGCCTGTGCGAGATTTCTGCTTTCTTAATATCGTCAAATGTTG